ACTTACTTGCACTACAGGATGAATGCATCAGGGATAAGAACTCCTTGTGGTTGGTAAATATCATGAATGGTGCTTAGATACAGGTCGATAGTGCTAGCTATAATACCATAGTAACAAGTGTATATCTTGCCAGGTTATTTAATAATTACTACGTTCTAATTGGTGGTTTTAGTTCCATAAGTATAACATCAATACTAAGTATGGTTTGGTTGGTTATGATACCCCTCACCTGGGGTAGGCTAGGCTTGGCTTGGCTCGGTAAAGTAAAGTAAGTAAACTAAGTAATCTATCTTTTCTTCAGATACTATACTTCATTGATACTTGCTGGTAAAAAACTGGTCTATACAAACCATATCACGTATTATATCGAGGATTTGCCGGACATGTACTATTGCTTTGTAGCTAATTTTGAGGGGGTTTGGGAATAATACTACAGTAGGCCAGGCTAGCATCATTGGGGACGCATATACCTACCTCCCAACTACACTTCGTGGTTTCAACATCGATTGATCTTTATCCTGTAGGGGTTTTTTATGGTCTCATTAGGTAGTTGGTAGCTAGCTGTTTTACTGCTAATTACGTACTAGATCTATCAGGTATCAAAACTGGCAATTCAATATCCATTCTGGAAAATAAGATAGAGGTACAAGATGCGAGCGTGTATAGTCAACGCTTTGGCTCAACGTATTAGGGTTGTGATGAGGGGAAGTGTTGATGTCGAATGTAATCGACAAGTAGAAGAAGAAAGGAAAAGGAACAAACCGGGGTTGTGAAGAGAAACTTCATGAGGACAATCTTGCTTCCTAGGAGATGTAAATAGTGAAAAGAAACACGGAGGAAATGAAAGTCAAACGGATACCAGTTACAAAAGTGGACAGCACAAAGTGGAAATGGGATCAAGGAGAAAAAGAAAAAAGAAGAGATAGAAGAAACCCAAAGACAAGTCATAATAGGACATTCGAAGGAGAACTTTCCTCGAACGAACGCATCAAGCGGACTCGTGAAGGTAAATGGAAGTAATGGCAGGTAGGTAGGTAGGTAGGCAGGCAACCCCCAAGGAAAAGGGTAAGCCCACGCGGATGGATCGAAGAGATAAATACACAAGCCACACTTCAGAAGAGAGGGTCAAAGCCCAATCAAAAGGTGGAAAGGAAAGAGAAAAAAACAACCAAGACAACGATTTTCCCCCATGAAATCAACAATTGCTACTCGCTTAATAACGGACAAAACAGCTGCAATATCGTGGCAGATTAGTTGACGCGGAAGGCATCAAAGATGACTGCATATGTATTAGTAAAGTGAATCAAGCCGGGGTAATGGGATGGGGTCAGCACTGACCTTCGTGGCCCCTGCGGCAGCCACTTCCAATCCACATCAGAGTGTTCAAAAACGCGTAACGTTCGTCTCCAGTTTCCATGTTCAAGTTGATGCGGTATTTGTATGTATTGGGGTTGATGCTATCCGCCATACCCGGGTCGTTGACCTTGTCCAGAATATCCTTGGCTCCGGTCAACCAGCCGTTGGTCTTCACGACAATGTATGCGGGGGGATCGTCGGCGGTCTGGAGCATGTAGCTTGCTCGGAGATGTGTAGAAGATTCCTTGGTCACGACCTGCGAGTCTTGTCCGCCAGGCTATATGCACGGTGAGCATGTTGCTAATTATAGCAGGCAACCAATTGCGCGTCACGACTTACCAGAACGACACCCTTACCCCATCGACCAGCCCACTGACCACCGACGAATGTTACCCAATCACGTTGACCCCAAATACTCTCACCTACCGACACCTTCGGGTTCATCTTAATGCTCATGCGGAAGTCCAGCTCCAGGGTAGGCGCGGGGATCTGCAGGGAACGCGCCACGTCGCCTTCGGGGAAGGTATGAAGAAGGTTGTTTGCGGGGATCGAATCTTTCATAACACTGAGGTAGGTGGGGCATTCCAAAAGGTGCTGACGTTGACGGCTGGTATTCTTTGCGCGGACCTGCTGGCAATAGATGCATTGAACGGACAGACACTGGTGGGGGTCTCCTGTCAGACATAGGGTTCTATCGGGCAACACGCGGGCCATGTCCTCGCTCACCTTGTCTTCTTCTTTGGCACGGAACTCCACGAACGCGGCATGAACGTCATCGAGGGGTGGGGCAGGAAGGTTCGAGGTCGAGTTCTTAGGCTTCGCTTTGGGAGTGGCACGAGCTGCCTGCTGGGTAGCAGAGACGGTGGAGGCGGTTCCGGCCGGGCCTGATGTCGGGAGAGAGGCGCGACTCTGCATGTTCTGCAATGGCGTCTGCATCGGGGTAGCATGAGGATTGACACCGTTGGACATCATGGGACCGTTGGGAGTCGCGAGAGCACCGGGCCCAGGAGCAGCACCCGGCGCGGTGGCCGCAGCACCATTGGGGGTGGGAGGGTATCCATTGGCAGCGGCGATGCCATTCGGGGCAGAGGGGGCGGACTGGGACTGGGCCTGGGGGTTGGTGTGGCCGCGGAGACCGGGACACTCGAGCAGGTGCTGCTTCTGGCGTGAGGTGTTCTTTGCGCGAATCTGCTGGCAGTAGATACACTGGACGGAAAGACACTGTGGAAAGCAAACACGCCAGGTTCGTCATGTCAGTGACGCTGGTGTTGGGCGGCGGGTTGAAATATTACGGGAAATACAGGAGTCACGCACCTTATCGTCTTCCTTGGCGCGGAACTCGACGAACGCCGCGTGAACTTCCTGGTCGACGGTCCGACCCATGTTCACGACGAAAGGGTTGAAGAAATCGATGGTGAATGGATTGGCCGGAGAAAATCGACTAGAAAAAGAGATGAGAAGGGCCGCTGCAGGGGATGGAGATGGGGGTTTGGTCGGACGTTTCGTGGGGAAAGCAAAGATGAGGAACGAGGCAGCGAGGACTCGGGGGAGCGAGAGTGAAAAGGAAGAGAGAGTGTTTGACCGGGCCTGGGAAGGAAACAAGACGAGACAAAACGGGGACAAGACAAGACCGAGACGGTGGCGGTTAAGTTACGCGAGCCCGTCAGGACGAGACCTTACCATATGCGTAATTTTGATCCCGAGGGGGTCCGTCCACAAGAAAACCAACATACCGAGAGATTAATATTACTGGTTTTGCTCAACTTACTGTACACTAACCAACTACTATACTAATTATACTATCTAGATACATTGATAGCTTGATCAGTTTCTTCACCTCTTCAGATCTTCCTCTCCCATTCATCCCTCATTATCTTTCTCTTCTTTGTTCCCTTTTGAACAAAGTCCAACTCCGGCCTTGGGTGCCTCACCCAAAGTCAAATTCTGTCACGCGGCAGGCTGACCAAAGCCCGACCACGTTCCCCAAATAAGCGGAGGCTTGACAAGGCCCTATCAGCGTAGACCATTCAATGCATCGGAGCGGGGAATACAAATAAATCGAGCAGAGCTGAGCTGCAGCTAAGGGAGTCGATCATCTTTGAGAGATTATTCCACAGCATTTGTAGATTTATAATTAGATCTGTGGTATACATCCATTGATATTTATCTTAGAATCTAGATTGCGTACCTTAAATACCTGATAGATAGTTATACCGTGTTACTGGTATCGCCGTAAGGGTATGGAACGATCGGCACATTTACAAGTTTTGATATACCGCGTCTCACAAGGCCACCACTTAAACGGCCGGACCGCGCGGATACTAAAAGAAGTAAACTTGCTGTGTTGTTCTATCTATCTATCTATGCCCCGTTCGTATTCGTTCAACTTATGACTGATAAATTCAACATTTTTCTTTTTGCAAACCTGAGACATAAACGAGGGGTCTTGAATCTAAATCATCATCTTCTTCAAAAATGGGACATACTAATTAATCATTTCCTCGCGATCGCAACCTCTTGTGACAGCACACAGTAAGTAGTATGCTGTGTAAGGAAACGCAAGAACGCAGCGCGGCACAGCCACCGCCAACCTCGCGTGTCTTGCCGTGTCTTGGGGGAACCGAATTTCCCCCTGAACATCATCATAATAATCATGATCATCTTGAAGAAATGTACATAGTATGCTTCAATTGTGCGATGTGCGATATTGAAGATGCAATACATATATAATCTGATATAATACTATGCTGGTTAAACGCCGTCATGTATTAATCTGTATACTATTTTTGTTAAGGTGTCGCCGGCATCCATCCATAAATGGAAGCGTTTGTACGTATTACTTATTATTACTAAACTTTAGTACTATGTACTCTCGTATACCATACTGGTATGGATCCAATCAAGACCGTTTATTTGTTTTTACACCCGGGGAAAAATGACGACTTGGTTTCAAATAAAACTGCTTTCTGGCTTGCAATATTACTACTACTTCTTGTCCACTTATGGGGTTGGACCAGAACCACTGCAGACTGGCCTGGCCTGGCCTGATCTGATCTTTCCTCTTGATGATGATGAGATCACCGGCCCACCGATCTTCAGAGGCCAATCGCGAGCTTTCGTCGACGCCTTGTACTGCGTCGCTTCATTTGTAGTTAGTTAGTTCGTATGTTGTTTGCTTGGGGTTGAGGGGCACACTCTTTGTTTCAGATGTATGTCTGCGGGTTTATGTTCGGACGTCATTGATGTGGTTTGCTTTACGCTGATTTGTCAATGCGTACTTGGGTCTGTTGTGCAAGGTTTATTTTCCTAGCGCAAACGATGTGGGCTTGGGGATCTCGTACTGATAACATGGTGGTGGTCATGATGCTGGTTTAGTGGTATCAGGCGTCGGAAAGTTTGGTTTAAAACTGTATTTGAGAGGCTTGGTGTCTTAGACGTGGTATGAATAGTAAATTTGATAGATCAGCTATTTAGGCGTTTTGTGATGGAGACTTGTACTTTACATGATGTTAATAAGGAAATTGATAGAATAGAATGACACGTGCATGTCTCTACTCAAAACAGCCAGGCATAGGAAAAAAGTAAAAGAAACAAAGTACTTAATACAGAACGGGGACTGCAGCTACAGATCTGACAACGGACGATCAATGCTGTGCTGCAGTAGCCTCCGACAATCCGGGTATGCATATGTGAATTTCTCCGTACTTATATCGCACGCCATACTCTTCAGTGCTTTGGTCTTCGTATGCTTCTTGGTGTACCGAAAGTATACCTCTAGTTGCAAGGGTAAGCACATGCATGAGACCTTGAGTAGCCACGATGTGAGAGGTCTTCTGCGGAGGGAGGAGTGTGGAGAATGTTACTGATTTAATTTCCCCGGCTGGACCATTCGGGTCATAAACTTCCTCTTCGTTTGCAGGTGTCGCGGTCATGAATATGCTTTCCAAGTACTTGAGGAAGTTTAAGCTGTCTTGGTCAAGTGTTGACTTTTGTGATTCATCATTGAGCACTTGCAGGCCCTGAACAACAGAGTGCGTTTCATAGCCTGCTCCCATTATTCGGTCCTCAAGGACTCCGCCATGCTCTATCGCAAGCTCTGTGTGTAGATACTGAGAGATGTCAAAGTCGTCAAGGTTGTCCAGCTCACCCAATTCGTTTCCGGGAATGGAGAGGACATTGAGCGCTTCAGCATCGAAAGGAAACCCACGACCAGCAAGGGGACTTGCGCTTGTGAGACGACTGCGTGCTCTTCCAAATCCGGTATCGGAAATGCCATGCGATGAAAAGTCACTAGCGCTGCCAAAACCGCGAAAGATATTCGCAGCAGACGAGCCCTGCCGAGAGCTTTGGACCGATGCTGTGATGTTCCATGGCATTTGAATGGAGTGGTCATCGCGAAGAGAGGGTGGTGCATTGCGACCAATTTCGACGTCCTGCGTACAATAGCTCAGCTTTGGCCCGGTAAGCATAGACATATACATACCTCGTTCCATAACCTGTCGTCGTGACGTCCGATCTGATCTTCATCCTCCACCCGTGGACGGACACGCCGGGTATCGAGATCGGACCCGCCCTCGATCGAGGGATGGACACGCTTGCGTACTCGACCATTTGACTCATCAAGGAGCTTTTCATACAGCTGCTTGCCCGAGAAAGAATTCAATGGGTGCGTGACTTGAGACAACCCCACGCCCACACCGACAGAACCAATGCCTTGACCGAAGACCCAGAAGGCAGCCCTCTTCTTTGCCAAGGTTGGAAGCTTGTTTCTCTGTTTCTGCTTCGAGGCTGCTGCCATGTTCTGCACATAGTTACTATTCAACTGGGCCATTTCAGTGTTTCGCAGTGCGACTTGCTCATCTAAACCAATGAGCTTTGGGCCTCTTCTCTTCTGCTGCAATGCCATATTCGACTCCACAGCATCTTCATCGTTTACTTCCTGGTCAAAGATAGAGGCGCGGTTTTGGGTGGTCTTCTGTATGTCAACGCTTTCGGTTGTTAGCTTTAAATCTGGTAGTTCTGTCCTGGGTCCTTCGTCAAGCAAAGCCGGCTATTTCATAGTTTGTCAGGCAATTGAAATATTAGTAAGTGATTGATGAGGCGCACCTGATCTTCCATGACGAAATTCTCTGTTACATCAACCTCCATAGCATCTGCAGCTCTTTCTTCCATGGCTGCCATGTTCCTTTGCAATCTTGTCTCAGGCTGAACTGATCCAGCAAGCTCTACGATATTTCCATCTTCGTCAAATTCGAAGTCAGGTTGCAGGATCACTCCGGATTCTTCACCAAGCTGGAGGGGCTCGGTGGCGCCAAAGTCGATGCCTATCCCTCCATACCGGCTCGCACTGGTACCTGCGCTGAAGCCATCTATATCCACCAATGATCTATTAGAATATAAATCGAGTTTCAGACTATCAGTCTGGGAGAGAGCAGATTGGCTAAGATCAGGGGTCTGAGGCCACATCCGACTTGGTTGTTGACTCGGGTCTAAGTCAATCGACAGATTCAAGCGTGAAAAATCTAGCCCCAAGCCAGGGAGGTTATTTTCAGGAAGGAAACTCGGATCGTAGGGTAAAATGAGCTGATCTGGTCTGTGAGAAGTGTAAGCAGTGAGACACTGTCGCAATGTCCGCATGTAATAGGACAACAGGAGTACAGACCTAGCCTTCCCTGCCATAGGGTCAAGACCACCTCCCGGTAGAACCTTCAGCAGAGCTCTCATCCTGTCATGCATGGCTTGAACATCGGTGAGGGTGTATCCACACTGTTGGCTGTATACCCTCGACACCCCATATCTAAAGAAGTATGATGCGATGAGTAGGTAGTCCTCGGACCTGTTTGCGAACAGCAGATCTCACAGTAGATTCCCCTGAAGTCTCAAAGCCATCGGCGCCACCGGGTCCATAATGACACCGCACGTCTTGGGGACATCCACATCCAGTATAGCCTTCTTGTTCAATTTTCTAGTGACGGATTTCGAGCCCAGGGTGGCAACAAGCCTATAAGGATTGCAAAATTAGTACAATAGAGCAGACAGGTCTAAGGAGGGAACGCGACAACTCACCAGACCGTAGCAACCCCATGTTCAGGAGAAGTAAGAACTATCCGGAGAACTGCATCAGTAGTTATTCGAAAATAGCATTCGCAAAGCTCCAGGTTCAGATTAATTCCATATCTTAATCCACTTACTCTCATGGCTATAGAACATTTCGACCTCGCGCCCTTATGCCCCTTGAGGAACGGTCCTCGACGCGTCTCTCAAGCTGACGTTCAATCTATGAACCACCGCAAGCGATGTTAGACGCGTAAGGACGTTTCAGTAGCTGTTTGGATCTGAGAACCGCGCCGTGAAATTATTGACAGGCGATGGAGTCGTAGAAGGAACCTAGTATATCTTTGAACCGGATTGACCAGCTGAACTGAATCGCGTTTGGATGCTTAGCAACGCAGAAGGTAGTCTCAGCTTCTGGCTCCAACTTTATAGGCTTGTTACCTGGACCAGCTGTCTTTCGGTGGGGTGGAAAGTATGAGAGATAGTCACTGCTGGAGCAAGATCGCGCAGGAGAAAGGTAAGACAGATGAAGGTGGTTTGCCGTGACCAGCAAGGTAGGTATAGGGTGGGGCTTATCTGATGAGACAAAGTGATCAAATACCAGCAAAGAAAATTGAGAGGGAGAGTCGGAGTGTGAGGGATGTTGGTGGAGTTGGAAGGCGATGGGACAAGAGTGGGAATTAAGTAGTGAGGAACCAACATTGGAGCATGACAGTCAACGCAAATATCGCTCACTATAACAGGACGGGAAATATTCAGTTACTGCTGAGTTGGTTTATCAAATAATAGTCGAACTGCATGTGCAAATTAATAAAGTAGATTTATCTTGGTGGAATGAACGCCGCGTTCGAGGCAAATGGTTGTTTAATCGCATCCAATTGTGTAAGCATTTTTTGTCCCCTATCTATATTGCTACACTAAACCACTATCAAGAAACATCAATGAACCCACAGACATTATACAAGGAAGGTGCTTTTCGGTGCCCGTTAAGGCAACACAATTATGGCAATACAGAATAACGACCGAAAAAGCCAGGGGTCTATAGAGGACGAAAAAACTGAGAATCAAGAAAAAGGTGAAAGAAAATCAAGTTGACTATGGAAAATGAAGGAAGAGGTAAATGCTGCTACAATTATCTCCAACCCATAGCAACCCAGAAAGATGCACGTGGGGTATGAGACACGCAAGAAAGATCAAACCAGAACTTTAAAACACGAAGGACATTTTCTCGATTCCAAAAAATAAGCCCCCGTATGGGAGGGGGTTCTATACCTACCCCCCGACCAGATCATAGTACATGAGGTGTATCTAACATATAGGAGACACCTAGTCAAGAGGAATGCCCTGGTATTCGCCGTAGCCAAGGGCAAGGTTCATGTTCTCTGTGGCGAGCATTAGCTTCAATTCTATCCATGTGAGTCCAGGGACTGTTAGGCGGGAGGACTTACGCAGGCACTGGGTGGCAGCACCCTTGAGCAGGTTGTCAATGGTAGCACACACGACGACCCGCTTGCCGCTGGAGTGGACAGCAAAGCCACCAACCTCAACGCCGTGGCGGCCAGCAATGTCCTTGACGGAAGGAGGCTCGCCAACGATCTTCACGAGCTTCTCACCAGCATAACGATCCTGGTAGATGTTGCGGATGTCGCGGGAGCTCATCTCCTCCTTCAAGGGGATGCTGATAGTGTGCTGTATAGAGGTCAGCCTCGACTCAATGTGGTATAAAACAGCATAAAAACAAGGGTAACATACGTGAATGCCCTGGAACCAGACAGCAACGTGAGGGATGAACGCAATGCTGGTACCGAGCTGCGCGCTGATCTCCTTCTCGTGGATGTGATCAGTCAAGCTGTAGGGGATGATGTTGTTGGTGAGGTTGTCCACATCATTCTTGGGGCTGGGCTTAGTGCCAGCTCCGGAGTAGCCGGAAACACCGAAAACAGTGGGCTGGCCACCGAGGAAGGGCACAAGGGGAGCAATTCCAATCTGAGCGGCAGTAGCGTAGCATCCAGGGTTGGCGATACGGGTAGCCTGGGCAATCTTGGAACGGCTGACCAACTCAGGCAGACCGTAGGTCCAGTTGCTGTCGAACCGGTAGTCGGCACTCAGGTCAACGATCACGTTGCCCTTCTCGGCACCCTGGTCCACGGCATCAACAAACGGCTTGCAAACGCCGTTGGGCAGAGCCATGACCCAGCAGTCGACGTCTCCGTTGGAGGACATGCGCTTAACATCCTCGGGGCTGAGGTTCTCGTAGATGATCTCACGCTTGTCGTAACCCTGCAGCTTCTTGCCAACCAGCTCGCGAGAAGAGACGTGACGCAGATCCATGTGAGGGTGGGCGTTGAGCAGGCTGATCAAAGCCTGGCCGGTGTAACCACGGGCTCCGATAAGAGCAACCTTGGCGGGGCGGGTGTTGGACATGTTCTTCTCTCCCAACGGGGGGTTAGGGTTCGTCGTGGCGTAGGTTCTGACGGTCTGCACAGGAACCATGGGACGAGCGGAACGAGCGGCGCGCAGAGCATTGCTGGTAGAAGAGAAGGCACGCTTCTGCTCAGCAGAAGCGCCGCTAGCACCAAAACCCTTGCCAATGTGAGTGGCGGCCTGGGCGGCGCGGTGCAGCCGCGACTCGAGGTTGATGTCTCCAAACATCTGGCGACCGTGCTGGTTGAACTCCTGCACCAGCTGCTTGACCTCCTCGCCGCTCTCGACACCGTACCAGAAGAGAACCTCTCCCTCACGGCTGAGGCTGCCATCGGCCTTGTCAAAGAACCAGGTCAGGTTCTCATCATCCTCCTTGACGGTCCAGACAAGCTTGGGGTAGTCCTTCTTGATGGAAGCAAAGACGTTATCAGCAACGTTGGTCAACCAGCCGGACTTGGTGATGGTGAAGGTAGCCAAGTGAGCCAGGGAAGAAGTAGCGTCCTTCTGCGGGGGCAGAACAACGGCCAGGGCCTCCATAGGCTCATCATAGTAGACCTTAAAGTCACGCTCCTTCAAGCCCTCGACGTAACGGTCAACAGTGGCGCGGGCATCCAGGCCCTCGCGGTCACGAACCAAGACCTCCTTGAGCTTCTCGAGATCCTCGAACTCAGAGAGGGAAGTCTTAACGTGGACCTTGTTTCCACGGCGGATCAGCGTACCGGCTCCAGAGTCGGTGAAGAGTTCCTTCTGCAGATCAGCAGGGTGGATGATGGCCACACTGGAGGTACGAGGAAGGTCGCTGAGCAGGTCCTTCATCTCCTTGATCTTCAGGCGGGTACCGTGACGGACCCACCACTGAGTCATCAGGTGGTCGTACTCCTCGTCGAGGTTGATCACAGAGATCTTCTCACCGGTGTCGCCGTTGAACAAGCCACCCTTCTCGGCAAGGTAGACAATCTTGAGCGGCTGGAGCGCACGCGCCAACTCACCGGCAGCCACATCAGCGTTGACATTGAGAACCTGGCCATCGGGAGTCTCGGCCATAGACGTAAGAATGGGAAGGCAGCCAGCCTCAATGGCAGACTCAATTGGCTTCTTGTTCACGCCATTGATCTTGCCAACCAGGTTGTACTTGTCCTTGTCCAGGTAATCAGCGGTGAAGACACCCGCGTTGAGAGGGCGCGCCCGGACACCCATGCGCTCCAACTCCTCAATCAGCTTCAGGTTCTCCTCCAGGAACAGCTTCCGGGCCAGAGCCAATGTCTTTCCATCAGTGACTCGGATTCCATCTTCGAACTGAGGCTCGACACCGGCGTCCTCCAGCATACGGTTAAGCTGGGGTCCAGCACCGTGGACGACGATCGGGTAGAGTCCGACATGGTTCAGGAAGGCAAGGGCGGAGGAAAGAGTCTGAAGGTGTTCGGTGATGATGGCACCGCCGACCTTGATGACAGCGAATTGCTGGGAGGAAACGGAGGTGAAGTGAGAGAGATACTGCTGCACCTCGCGCTTGGAACCGATGTTGCTCAGCAGCTGGACAACGGTCGAGCGGGTGGAGGAAAGCTGGGGGTCAGTAGCACGGGAGTAGTGACGACTCTGCAACAGGGGAACTGCAGAGGCCTTCAGGGATTGACGAGCAGAGGCGCCGCCCAGTCTGGCAGAAGAAACAGCATGCTGTGCGGAGAAGGCGCGGAGGGGCTTGCTGGAGGAAGCTCTCCGCACGGCGGTGCGAAGGGAGAACATATTGCCAGCCAGCATGCGGCAGCTGCTGAGGCCTATATCGGACAGGAAGGTCGGAGGGAGGGAGACCTGGAAGGGGGGAGACGGGGTGGGAGTCAGAGGGAGTTAAGTAGAAGTAGAGTAGAAGTGGTAATGGAGGTTGAGAGGAGAAGGTGACGAAGAGGGAAAAAAGGTTGTGCGGAGGTGGTAGTGCGGGTTCATCAGGGAATTTGCCGCAACCCCCCAAAGAGTTTGATCGTCCAGATAGAGATTATCGGCCACTCTTCGGAGCGGGCGCGCGCCCTTTGGGAACTTGGGAAGAGGGGAATTATTACTCACTAGTTAGCTCCGACCCAATGGCTGGCCGCAATCGCCTGGTTCGGAGGTGGGTTTTTTTTTCTTTACTTTTCGGCCGTAACCAGTTCTGTCCTTGAGTCAAGTTAAGCCTTGGGGTATTTTTTTATAAAGCCTTTTTCAATGTCGCTCTTTTGCCGCGTTCGGGAGCGCCCTTTATATCTTTCTCCCTCCCCACGCGTTGCCTCGAATTTTAGCCCGTTTTCACAAGCTAACAAGCGAACCAGGAGCACCTAGATCTCCGTCGAACCTGTCACTGTATGTGAGCGAATTTCGATCTGGCCACTGGAATAAATTGCGCAAAACCCGGCTTTCTTAAGGTAGATATATCGAGGGATAAACGCCAGTCCGCACAAGTGCCCGAAACGCTGGCTTGGCTGCGACTTTCGGAGCCGGGTATCGAAAAAAGGTGACTCACCACATTACTATTATTTCCAAGGTCCCGGTTCCCATTATTTCCGGTTGCCCTTCGCTCCCCATCCTCAAACTACCTCGCTTCCCTCTTTCGCATCGTCACACGTAATGGAAACCCAGCATATGGATCCCGACGATCCCCTGTGATCAATTTCCATCAATCAATAATAACTCTTCAAGCCGTTATCAGATCTCGCTAACTGCCGACAGCCTATCACTGTCTGGACTCGCTGGAGTCGTGCTCCAGCACGACTCAGGCCACAGGTGTCAAATCCGTCAGTGCAGATGGATCCTTTTCGTTATCTGATCCTCCCTTTACCTAACACGTACAACTGGGTATCCAGATTCCATATTAATGTGGTCCACATCTCCTTGCTCTTCGGTCCTCTTCATCCGAGCCTTTCCTCCCTTTGCTTTTTCCGTGGGGTGCGGGTTTTATCTATGGCTGGTAATCTCCTCCGTAGTAGTATCCGCAATACGAGAATCTACCCGTGTCTCAGGCTACGATGGGTCGGACTTATGGCCAGATGAGTGCCCTGACCGTCTTTCTCGTCAGGTCCTGCTCTCTCCGTCTCTTCCCTCTCTCGCTTCATGCAGGTGCAAGTCTCAAAAGGACAAAGTAGGTTGTCTGTACTATACTCGCAGTGTACTCTTGAGTGTAATCTGGAGCAGAGGTCCATTAAAGGCTAAAAAGGGAAAGACACAAAGGAAATACATAAAGAAAAAAAAAAGAGAAAAGGAAAAGGAGCAAACATAGGAAACCAAAACCAACAAACAGCACTGATACTTGAACACGAGGAAGCACCGGAGAGTATCATTTACATCTTCACCGTCGATGGAATCATGTGGCATAGCCTCAATCTCCATATCGGCTCATAGCGTCCATGGCGTATAGAGACAACAAGACTTTATTCGTGAGAACGAGGTTGACGCCCGAGAAAAAAGCAGGTGGTATTAATAGCTGGAAACAACGGCTTCGTCTCAACACAGATAAACCAGGGCCAGGCGAAAGAAAAATCGTCATCCATTCCCAAGCCAATCATGACTGTCGCGCTCTGAATTCGTAGCTTAATGTTTGGTTGCGACAACTAAAAGGAAAAAGCTGTTAGCGCACTCCGGGATGCTTTACCGGGTCCAGCTGGGTGGAGTGCCGGGAGAACAGCGCTGATCTTACCTGCAGGGACGATAATCACAATGAGCAGAATAATGATACAGACGATAAGGCACACGCGCATCTTCATATCCTTCCACCACATTTGCTTCCTCACGCGGTTGGCACCTCTGCGGAATCCCTGCGCTGATGTTGCCAAATTGTCCGTCTTGTCCTGGAGGGAGTCTAGACGTTCACCACGTTCTGAAACTTTGAAGATGTTGGAGCGCATTGTATCAACGGTCTCTTGGATTTTCTAGAGAGAGAAGAAACACAGTGTTAGTAAAGGGCTTTGCGACAAATGCCATGATAGACACAAGCTCAATAACATCCAAAAGATCGGGGTTGCCGCCCAGTGTAGATGAACCCAGATGGACGTCCAGATGAGTACTGGCAAGCCGTCACATCCTATCCAACCTGGGCGACAGATCCTTGTGGTACGATAAGAGTTGGCTGCGAGACGTTTCGGCAACTTACTTTGTCGATTTCCCTTGTCCTGGGGTCGCCATTTTGCGCGGCGCTGGCGCCGGCGCCGGCTCCATTGGCGCCAGAGGGGATGTAGGGGTCGTAAGGCTGCTCGGACATGATTCTCGTGCGCGATAGATTCTATGAACTCGGTATTCGGGGGTGTAGGACCTGGTAAGTTACCAGACTACCTAGGTGGAAAGTGACGGGCTGCTGCCTGTTGCTGTCGTAGGGGATGAGGCGGTAAGTCGCAACGACAGACTCGACGACTGAGGGTACGGTGAAAAGCGAGAAAGGTGGAGGTCGGAGGATGGTGTGGAAGGTGGCGGGACGATGGAATGCAGGAGGGAGGTAGGATGCGTTATTGAAGGGAAGCTGACAAGGTGTGATGAATCGCCGCCCGCCTTCTGGAGATTACAGGCGTTTCGGTTCGGTCGGGGCGGTTTCACGTGACCCGCGGTCTATTGGGAAGGACGCCCCGGCATAGGCAGCTATTATTATTTTGTGCTTAGTGGTGAGACCCAATTGGACCAGCCGCTAGAATGGAAACAAAGAGAAGGTGAAAAGCCAAAAGGTTGAGTTGAGTGGCTGTATAGAGACTGCTGCTACTTTGTTTCTATTGACTACTACTGCGCCCATGGAAAAGGAGAGGATACCCTGTCAATATCCACCTAATACTTCACATGGAAATAGAAGATCTACTACAACTGTCAATACTCTCGATGTATGCACTAGGTGCAGGAGCAAGGCTCTGGTATGCCTGCAATTTTGGTAGAGAGAGCAATACAGACAGAAATAGCAACACCAGTTGTCCGTCTATTGGGCACCCTTCACTACCAAGTGTTATGAAGTATGGCAACGGTCTGCCCGACCTCATGCGTTGCTTAAGAAACACGCCCTACTATGTGGCGGTGCGTCCTATGTAAGCATGCTGCGCCTTCCGTCACATGCATCACGTGGCAGTCCTGCCTTAACGAGTATGGAGTGTGGACCCTTCTTCCAGATATCTAGATAATAGATACGATAAGGACTTGATTTCCGAAAGAATCCTGCCAACTTCTGCATTCTTCGATCTGCTTAAGACTTGGCTAGATTTGTTGCTCATACCAGCTATTTTCCTAATAATTAGAACAAGTGCTTTTACCGTCATGATTTTCCCCCTTCACGAATGAGGTAGATGAAAATACTAGGAAAGGTTTACGCTTAATCCCAGGACCTAGTAGTGTGCAAAGATTATCTCCTTCATGACTGACAGGGGGTAATGTGATCTCTTAATGCGCTATGTTAGTATCAACACAGGCACAACAACACTTTGCATCGCAGCTTCATCAATGGACGCGGAAATTGTCCGAACGGACACCTACAGGCCTACGGCCGCGACAAGTATATGAGGGATTTATACAACTCCTTTCATACAGCGGGCATCAATACGAAAAATTGCAGCAAATTTATCCCGACAGTTCATTCAAGCGTGACAATATGATCGAATGCGATTGCGTCGGCAGAACATTTCTCGAATACGAGATCGTCATACTCAACAGAGATGCTCATTCGCTAGAAATGTCAAGTATACGCGTCGCCAACTCATCTCAAGCCAGAGGAAATTGATATACGTTTCAATGATACTGCCTAGAGGCCTTCCCCTCATACAGTGAAAGTGGGACCAACCGGGCCAGCGGTACTCATATCAATAAGCGCTGATGGAGTTGATCTGGATACCAGTCTATTTCTTTCCGGCACATAAAGGTTGCCGTGCCCAACATCATGCCCCATCGTTACCACAATCAGAGAATACTCGGCTGTCTCAGGCGTAATCCGATGAACAGGAACAGCACAAAGACATAATATACAATGCAAGCGTAGGATTTCCATTCAATCATTGAAATACAATACAGTATAGACCGTAGCCTCCGAAACTCCACAAACTCTGAGCCAAATGCTTCCCCCACAATGCTTTTGGACATGTCCCAGGTAGACGCAATGGGTATAAATACAAGCACGATGCAGGAGTCAACGTTCCTTCCCAGCATCATGTCCGATCCAGCTACATCTCCAGCATAGAGAAATGAGCTAGTCACAGCAGATTCACTCCCGTGGAGATATACCTCCGCAACAAGCCTATTTCTCACCCAGCAATTCCTTCCTCATCTCCTCACGTTGTACCTTCGCATCATCCCTAGCCTGATTCCGTTGTACCTCAGCCTCCACGCGCTTCTGTTCCTGTTGTTCCTGCGCCGCGTACCAGACTAATCAAACCCCCATGAAATCAGTATAACTGCTCACAGACACACCCATAAGATAAAAGAAGGGGTGGACCATAAACGCACTCGACTTATCAGACTTAGACCATTGCTTCAACCGGGTAACATATTCATCGAATTCCCGAGCCCGGCGATCCCCTTCCTCCAAACTCCGCTTCTGAAGATCCGGGTTATAACGCTTGAACAATTCTTCGTCGGTAGGACGGATGTATTGGACGAAAGCCGGACCGCCGACACAGATGACGATGCCGCTAATAGTAAGTAATTTACCCCGTTAGAAAAATCGCGCGCCAAGTGCGGAAAAGAAAAAGGTGGGTGGGTGGGATGCGCCTTACACGCCGAGCATCTTCATCCAGGTTCCTGCCCGAGACATGGTGGAGGATGATTTATTGTCTGGGGACAATTGTTTGTTGTTTGGTTGGGATGGGACGACGAGTGATGTAAGGCAGGTGGAATTGCCCTGCTGTAAATGGCTAGCTAAACGCGAGAGGGAGGTTGGTTGTGATGTCTTTGTTGAAAGCCACAGAGAAATCGTTCGGGAAGTTGCGTCTGATCTCCGACATCAATCAACATCATCATCGTAATCACGCACACGGGATTCGGCAGCGCCGATCCATATGTGTGTGTGGCGCAGCAGTGGAGGCTAGTAATGCAGGTGGCGCAGGTTTGTGGCCGTTACTTAATTGTAAAACCAATTAGGGAAGCGGAGTGGAATTATTCGGGCGGACTTCCTTTTTGCTGGCCTTCTCCCGAGGGGAAAAAGTTCTGCTGCTGCTGCTGCTGCTGCTGCTGCTGCTCCACTCACTATGTCACTAGAACAACGCTATCAGATTTTGTGCGAATTAGACGCTGATTTTCCCAAGGGCGGGGAATATCGTAGAGATTCTCTGTTGTCTCTTCCTCTGTTGAATGGTTACTGTGACGTCGGGATGTCTTAGACATGGGTCCGCTCGGCATTGATATATCGACTTCTAAATATAATCACACAGCAAAAGTAGGGTGGTCGGTTGAATTGCTTCATTGGTGAGTATTTGCGAGGTATGAAGAATTACTTTACTCATTTGGGTCATGTGCAGCTCCATTCTAGGCGTGGGACTTCCATCCGCAGATGCAGCTGATCATTATCTTAATATGGGAAGTCTATTAGTCAAATGCTTTTACAAGGGAGAAATCATCTGGCGTTGTTGAAATAATGTGCATTCTCTTTTGCGAAAGTGGGATGTGGATAGATAGAGTACATTCGCGCAGACGCAAGGTCTGCTAAGGTCCACGTTGGTATCTTTCGATGCGACATATCTGATACGTCAACGCGGCAGGGGTAAATAATATGTATTATGGCAAGAGATGCGCTTGGACAATTAACTGATTCAAGGCCGTAAATTCTGTCGGACCATCAGCTCATTGTACCCCATAGGGCTCGACGAGCCACTTGATACTACGGAGTAGGTTATGTAAGATAGGTTGATGATCGATAACATCATAGGCTGGTTGTCGAACTCCGAGTGTTTATCCTTCAATGTAATTCGACGCATGGGGCTATGTCGTATTCGTATAGTCCAATAGAAATGCAGCGCCTAAGTTTCGAACGGAGATTGCGCTGGAGTTTGATCCATAGTGACCACTGTCGTTTTACTAAACTAGGAGCCCCTCAAAGATTAAACTGCTTACTGACCATCCATTGGCACAAGTCTTCCAGACCCCTGATGATCAAAAGGCTCAAGACCTTGCAGCGGGTTTGTAGGTGATGGGCAGATAATGGCTGTTCGAAATATTTGGGTGCGGTAGATCTCATGTCTCAGGGGTCAATAGCCTTAAGAGGATATCCAACGTCATTTCCTAGATGGGAGTCTTGGGTAGCGCCGTGCCAAGCGGTTATCAGACTCCAACGGTTTCTGATTCTGTAGTTGAAGTAGTTGAAGAAGAAGGGTGAGTCGGGAATGCTGGTAGGTCTGGTTGACGGTGCACTGGGATGTGATTACCCACTGTCGATACATGGCACGAGTGCCACAAAATCCCTCTTTAATGTCCTTCACCCAGGTTCCAAACTTCCAAAGCCATGACTCCTGCTGCCACTAGACTGAATGGGGTCGGGCGACGGAGGAGGAGATCCGTTTTGTACCGGCGAGAAGTGGACACCGATATCTAACTCTGACCAGCGACAGTATTCCCGGCGGGACGGGCGTGGGTCAGCTCAGAAGAATCGTTCCAAAGTGTCAGTAGCCGACCAGTGAGTAGACTAGATAGTTGAGTGGGTGCGCGAACAGTTCAGTCATGCATTATGGGTATTTCGCTAGGAGTCGCGCATGGTTGATCAGAGACAAAGGAGAGGAGAGAAGAAAGGCATAATGAGTGGGCATTCATAAAGTGTTCCATCGTCGCGATCAATCAATCAGTAATAATTATAATAATAATCATAATCCCTTGTGTTGTCGCTCCCACTTCTTTTTTTTTTGTCACTCCAGTCTACTAGCAGAGGGGGAAGTTTTAAAATCACGGGTGGCTTTCTGTTTCCCCTCTCCATCCAGTCAGACTACTTTACCCGTCAGGTACTCTACTCCGGACTCCGTCCCTATAACCCTCGACCACCCAAAGACACTTATCGTCTTTACCTCCGCCAACCTCCACCACCCCCTTCTGTCACTAATTTAAAATTCCTCCTCCCTCGGAGGTCACACGCTCTTTATTTTCTCACAAAGGTCATTCTTCCTTTGCCATCTCTTGTATCTTGCTTTCCCTGCCCCGGTCCCGCATTCCTTCATTCCTGGCGGGGGGGAAGGTTATCCCTCGTGTTCTGGTGAGTTGGTCCGGCTTCGCGCATTCGCCGTGCGATCGCGCCCCCGGCTTCTGCAGTCATTTGCGCCCACAATTCGACCGCTGACAGCATTCCTTTCCCTTTCGCTAGGATACATTAGTCTCGCGCTGGTCTTTATTCAGGGTCTAATGGCTGCATATATCGCATGGAACTGTTGAATCTTAGTCCCGGTGTCACTTTTCGCATTACCTAGCTTCCAGTAAGCTAAGCGCCCCCTCTACTACTACTACCAGGATTTAGCAGCATTTTGCCCATATGTACCTTTGTCTCACTGGCTGACCTCCTATTGGTGTAGATAGTGAAAGGGGGGCGTGAGCATTGTCTACTAGTGGATTGATTGTTCCCCGCGCTTCCAACCCGGATACAGAATCCGCAATCGTTTGTTCAAAAGCCCGTGTCGACTCCTCTCCCTTGTACAGTGCGCAAGAATACTGTTGGCATAATGGCATACCCGCAACATCCAGCGCAGAGGGCTCCTCCGATGCGAAACTATGGTCCCCGCGCTCCTCCCGCCCGGGGCGGGGCCTTCCAGGGTCCGCCGCCAAATGGACAATATGATTATGGCTATGACAACCAATACTATGGATACAGTAATGGTCCTCAGGGTTCAGGACGCGGTTATCCCGGTGATAGCGCAGTCCCACGGTCGTATGGGCCTCCACCAGGGGCTCCGCGGCCTCCGCGTGGTGGCTATGGACCCCCGATGGAGGCTCGTGGATATGCACATCGCGGACGCCCTCCGCCGCCGCAGGGATACGATAGCCGTCGTGGCTACGGCGACAGACCACCTCCTCAGATGAGACGACGTGAGTATGAATGAGCCCACTGATCTGGAACATGCCGTTAACTTAGTCTAGCTGCTCGTCCGCCGCAATCTCCTGATAAGATGGCATTTGATAATCCGTTTCCATCTTTCCCCACGAAAGACCCGCGCGGACCGAGAAGTATTGAAGGTGAGATGGCCGCGATGGACCTCAATGGTGGCCCAATACCCCCTTCACAGGTACCGGATCGTCCGCATACCTCGCATAGTAGGCGACCACCTAGACCTGTATCCCCTGGGCATGGTAGAAGCAACTACCCCGCCGCTCCTGTGCGATCAGCAAGTACTGGCCGTCCGGCAGCTTCGTCTGTTCAAAGCGACAGGCCGTACACCGATCCTAATGACCCGCCGCCTGTACCACACGTCAATCGAAGTGCTACCATGCCGGTCCAGCCGACAATGTCACCTCCGCCGCCCAAGCCTCTGTACCCTGGGCAATCAACCTACCAGGATCCTTACTCTCAACCGCAACCGGGTCCGCATGAGCATTTCGATACTGAGGCATGGGTGGACAGTTATTATAACTCGGCTCATGCTGGTGAGACTAATATGCCCAACTTCGATGCGATGCCTGATTTCGCGAAGGGCGGAGTGATTGATGAAAGCTTGCCCGGCCTTGAACAGCCGAAGGCCAAGGCACCCATCGAGTCGCCCCCTTCATCTCGTGGGGGATACACTGCGTTCAACCCTCATGCAGCAGCCGATCCTTATCCGCAATCGCCAGTGGAAGCCAGGGGCCCAGTTGCGCCGAATCAGTTTGCAAATGCAGGCTTCCAGTTTGACCTGCCGAATGAGGGTCCACCAATCCAACCTGCCTATGCTCAGGCTGGTGCTGGATATGGTTACAATCCGCATCCCTACGAGGAGCCTCACCCTCAAGATCAGGGGAACTGGGGCGCTGGAATGCCAGCTTATCCTGAACCCAATAGCGGCTATCCTGTCCCAGAGCCTTCTGTCCGGGGCAATCCACCTCGCCCCTACAGGCCCAATCAACCGATGCCTGTGACTGAACCAGCACCAGCTTTGAATCAGCCCGAAGCTGTGGATCCCCAAAAGAATCCTGATGCTCTCCCTCACCACCCCGTTCCTTTCCGTCTGGGCCACGATCAAGGAAGCAAGCCTGCACCGGTACGACAATATAACAATGCCAACGCATCAGCTCCCCCTCCTGCTGCTTCCCCACCGCAAGCCGCGCCCGTGGAACCAGCTGCATCCGGTCCTGTCACCCAGCAAGAACTTCAACAACTTCAACAGATGGCCAAAAGTAGGCCGTCAGACAGCAAGGCCCAGCTTTTACTTGCGAAGAAGTTGGTTGAGGCTTCGACCGTCCTGGTTGACAGCAGTCGGATGGATCCCAAAACCAAAGCGAAAGCCCGTGAGAGGTACGTTATGGATGGTTACAAGATCGTCAAGAAGTTGGCATCCAGTGGATACGCGGACGCTCAGTTCTTCCTCGCGGATTGTTATGGGTCAGGACAGATGGGTCTTCAAGTGGATCCTAAGGAAGCTTACAGCCTATATCACTCCGCTGCTAAGGCGGGACATGCCCAGTCGGCCTACCGAGTCGCTGTATGCTGCGAGATAGGACAGGAAGAAGGCGGAGGCACTAAACGCGACCCTTTCAAGGCGGTGCAATGGTACAAGCGTGCTGCATCATTGGGAGACCCGCCTGCGATGTACAAGATGGGAATGATCTTGCTCAAAGGCCTTCTTGGGCAGGCCAAGAACCCTCGTGAAGGTATCTCTTGGCTAAAGCGTGCCGCAGAGCGTGCCGATGCCGAGAACCCACATGCCCTTCATGAGCTTGCACTTATGTACGCAAATGCGGGACCCAATGATGTCGTTGTTCGGGATGAAGCCTACGCAAGCCAACTTTTCCACCAGGCTGCCGAACTGGGATACAAGTTCTCTCAATTCCGCCTGGGATCTGCGTATGAGTACGGCTTGATGGGATGCCCCATCGACTTCCGTCAGAGTATCATTTGGTACACTCATGCTGCTGCTCAAGGGGAGCACCAGAGTGAACTTGCTCTCAGTGGATGGTACCTTACTGGAGCGGAGGGTATCCTCCAGCAAAGTGACACGGAAGCCTATCTCTGGGCGCGCAAAGCCGCGACTGCCGGTCTCGCCAAAGCAGAATACGCGATGGGATATTTCACCGAAGTCGGTATCGGTGTAGCTGCCAACCTGGACGATGCGAAGAGGTGGTACTGGCGGGCAGCTGGTGAGTTTCTCTACTTTCTTATGCACTTTCGATCGCTAATGTAAATTCACTTCAGCACAACAATTCCCCAAAGCGCGTGAGCGTCTCGAGGAGATCAAGCAGGGCGGCGCTCGGATGCAAAAGACCCGACTGTCACGGTCTGCTGTCAATCAACAAAAGCAGAACGAAGGCGATTGTGTCATTATGTAAATGAGCAGGACAACTGGATGGTGGAAATTTCGGGGGATGTTTACGTTTTCGTTCTACCAGTTTAATACGCTTTTTGGACCTGTCTGCCAGTGTATTTTGATTGCTGGCAAATGCTTATACCCACCTAACGAGCTGGAATTGGATTACTATGATGCATGCATTTTCTGGCCTGGGAGGACTTCACCGGGGGAATGATTAGATGAATTGGGCCGGTCAATCTGGATTGTACCGGACCGCATCTTCAACTCTCATGGTTATTTTGCTTAGACTAGACACCGCATGATGATGCCCTTTTTTATAATACCCTAATAATGAACTGCTTATATGAACAGAGTACTTTGTAGTACATTAGTATAAACATAAACATATGCATGCTCAGTAGTAAAGTCAAAGCACCGCGGCTCAATTCCGCACTCCATCCGACGGATAGCGCCTCCTCCCGATCGGATCGCTAATGATTACAATATCGCCCATCATCCCCCATCACACCACATTGTAACCCCAAGACCCTGCATAATAAACCACAAATCATTAAGAAGGAAAAATCCTTCCGTGAAACGCGCAACAAATAGAAGAAACGATCCTTCTGCACCCTTCCATGCATCTTCCCTAGCCTTCCTTCCTTCTCCCCCTCCATCTCTTTTATCTACTACTCCCCGATCTGAGCCCGCACCGGGAACATTCCGAATCCTTCCTATAGATGATCTATGTCTTCTGCCCCCATTCCGCCATCCTCATCCTCCTCCGCACCATCATCTCATCAGAACACTACTACTACTACTAGCACACCACCAAAACAGAAATCAACCCTGGCGGTCCTCTTCGCGGTGATTACTTTGCTTCTTGCTATTGCTGTCGCTGGCTTCTGGGGCTATACCGGAAGTACTAGTACTGGTAGTGGTGGGAGTGCTGACGACGCCAATCTGTTCGGTCTTAGACGGTTTTTGGGTGCGGGTGGTAGGGCTTCTGCTTCTGCTTCTGCTTCTGGTTCGCGGGGGTTTGGAGATCGGGTAATGATGGCGAGAACGCCGGTTTATTTTTTGAGTCATGGTGGGGTGAGTTTTCCCTACCCTATCCTCTTCTTTCTTTTTCACCGTTTTTATGTTTTGTGGTATAAAGGTTGGGGTTGGATGCTGATCTCTGCAGCCGAATATCATGTATGATCATGAGCACCCGGCGTATCACAAGCTGGGTGAGATAGGGAAGGAAATTACTACCAAGGTGAAGCCGCGCGCGGTGGTGGTTTTCTCGGCGCATTGGCAGGCGGGAAGGGATACTATCCAGGTTAATACGGCGGAGATTACGGATTTGATTTATGAGTATGTTGTCTCTTTTTTCCTTTCCTAAATGTGGTTGGTGGTTTGGTGTTTGGTTAACGTTGGTTTTAGCTTTTATGGCTTCCCTAGTCATTACTACAAGGAGAAGTATCCTAATGTTGGGAGTCGGGAGGTTGCGAATAAGGTCCTCGATGCGTTGAGCCAGGCGGGGATTAAGGGTGAGGGGGTGAAGAGAGGCCTTGATCATGGTGTGTGGGCGAGTTTCAAGTGCGGTATGTTTGGTTGAGATTGGACGATGGTTTGGCTGGGAGATGCTGACTTTGGCTGTAGCTTTTGAGCCTGAGAAGAACCCTCTGAATGTCCCTGTTGTGCAGGTATCGCTGTTCAAAACGGAGGATCCGATCCAGCATTACCGACTTGGTCAGGCGGTCTCGAGACTCCGTGAGGAGAACATCTTGATCATCGTATCCGGTATGGCGGTGCATAACCTGCGCGATATGCAATTCACCTGGGGTGACCCGCGGCCTTTGCCGTATACTGCCAGCTTCGACGAAGCTCTGAAGGAGGCGGTCACGAAAGCGCCAGCGGAGCGAGAACAGGCCATGGCAGATTTGCTGAAACGGCCGGATGCTCGGCAGGCACACCCGTATTTCGACCACCTGCTTCCGATTCATATTGGAGCCGGAGCTGCGGGCGATGACGTTGGAAGGAGACTGTGGACCTTGAAGGAGGGAAGCATGAGTTGGGCGCAATATAGATTCGGCGAGATCGCCAACAGTACTAGTTCTTTGTAGAGTGAAAAGCGAACAATGGAATCGTGTAAATATTGACTGGGTTATCACGGCGAACGAGTTTCAATTCATCTATAGATACAGTGCAAATTGGAAATGCGGTGCATGAACATATACGGACGCGTCGTGATTTCGCTATGAAGACGCCTTCACCAACTGAGTGATCTTCTCTTCGATCTGCTGATCCGTCAAGCCTGGAGGTGCATCATGGTCAGTTTTGCCTTATAATCTCCGCTCAAGAATCTTACCGGTCAGAGCTTCCTGCTTCTCTTGGCCGAAAGCTGCGAATTTATTAGCTATAAATTCATCCACCATTGGTGTCGCTTTGAAAAACTTTGTCGTACCGTATCTGGCGTACACCCTAGGCACAGTACCAGCTGCCTCGCGCATCAGGATGGGGGTGTGAGGGTTGTGCTTCTTCATGGTCGGGTATGCGCGCTGCAAGAACGAGCTACAGATACAGGTTATCAGCGACTCCCTCATGTAATACCAACTGGGAACATTGTAGACTCACCGAGTAGCAGAGCTAGCCTGAGAGGTCTGGCAGAAAAGGAAGCGCAGCTCCTTCAGACCCTTGGTGAAGACGTACTTGGACGACATTGTGGGGGAAGATCGTGATAGACGGGAGGACCGGAGTTCGCAACGAGAGTCAACAACAAAAATTAGCCCCGTAGAAATCGGCGCAGGGTATCAATTGGGGGCGACGGAGGGGTCAAGGACCGATAATGGGAGCTTGAAGCTGATCACAGGGACTCTGGGGGAGGAGACGATGAATTGATTCCCGCTGGAGGTTCTGAGCCCGTACAGACCAATCCGGTCAAGCGTGATTGTCACCGCTTACCTCAGCCGGAAAAGAGCCGCAACCCCCAACGGAAGGCCGACCTCGGGGCCGCTGGGACTCACTCTTCCCTTCGTCATTTTACCAAGAACTCCATTCTCATATTTCCCCGGCTGGTCGCCTATTGCTGTTGTTGCGCACGCCGTGTCTTGAACATCTCCACTCTCTTCTTCAATTGGACCGATCCTTGTCCTTTTCTCTCCGGTTTTTCCACCCTCTTACCGCCGTCCTTGATTCGTCCCGTTCACGCCGTATCCGCGCCATATAAAATCAATCACCATGTCGTCCTCCCGTGTTGGTCTTCGCTTCTTCCAGAACACCAGAGCTGCTTTCCGCAACGCATATGGCCCTTTCCGTCGGCCTGGTGCCCAGGGCTTCCGCTTCCAGAGCTCCGATGCTGCGGCCGCTGAGCAACAGAGCACTTTCCAGCGTCTATGGAACAGCCCGGTCGGTGTGAAGACGGTGCATTTCTGGTAAGTTATACTCGGATATTATGTTTTTGCATTTGCTTTTTTCTTTTTTCTTTTTTCAAATCATGTGGATGTTTATATTGCATTGTATACTAACACTGATGTGTCATAGGGCCCCCGTTATGAAGGTACGAAATCATGCACCCTGCTGAAACCTGTTCCTCAGATCTTCCCTCTCAATCGCGATACTCCTACTATATCTATGTACTATCTCACTGACTCAACCAGTGGGCTCTTGTCATCGCCGGTATCTCCGACTTTAGCCGCCCTGCCGAGAAGCTCTCCCTCACTCAGAACGGTGCTCTGATGGCCACTGGCTGCATCTGGACTCGCTGGTGCATGATCATCACCCCCAAGAACTACCTGTATGTACTTCGACCTTGATTTTTGAAAAGCTGGGAAAGTATACTGACTGGCTAGGCTCGCTGCTGTCAACTTCTTCCTCGGATGTGTCGGTGTTGTCCAGGTCGGCCGCATTATCAACTACCGCCGTAGCCTTGATGGCTCGACCGCCGCCGCCGTGCAGGATCTGGAACAGGAGGTGGCCGACGACGCCAAGGCTGTTGCTACTCAGGCGAAGGCTGCCGTCGAGAAGTCTGCTTAAACAGCTTTTGGTCTGGGACAAGGGTTGCGTAAAGTGCACCCTAAGCGACAATAGATTGTCTTCCCGTTGGCATTGGTGAGTAGGCTCATAGAGCATATCATGAGATGAAGTTGGCTGGAGGCGACTCCGACTTATATATGTACATATTCCCTTATAAATTGCATCGACATTCCTCTACGCTTGTCAGTGATGTAGACCATTGAGACCGCTGAGATCTCGGAATGGAGATAGAGACGGTTCGGTAACTTTGTTACAGTATATATTTACTTAGTAGAAGCTTAGCAGCTGTCGGCCTTTTAAATGGCTTCCTAGTGGTGGTGTATTGTCCACGAGGCTTGTACCACACGGAGTTTGCACTGACCTGCACTTACCGCAAGTTTCGGGAATTGACCTGCGCGACAACATCATCTAACGGGGATTAAAGAATAACCGGGTATTGCTCTCTCCATTAAAATGAAGTCATGATGCAGAAGATGGCTGGGGTAAGGTCCCTGCCAATTCCCCAGAAACACGTTTTTCCCCCAATCGGATAATCGTCTCCGGCAAGCCCTCCTATCACATCACCGGTTGTTGCTCCTCCACGCAATCCCCCACCACCACATTCTCCAGCAGCTAACTGTCTCCAAGTGCCCCTGTTGATTACAGGAGCAAGCCACAAGCTTAGCATAGCTCCACAGTCGTGATTTGCTCGCTCCATTTGGTTGACTGCGTTTCCCCGGATATGGAGTCCAGCGAACTCCTCAACTCGGAGACATGGGTGGTGTGGTCAGTGTGGGCAAGACTGCGGGGGAGTAATGTCGACTCAGTGCAATAAATATAAATGCCAGTGGCGATCGTCGTTGGTTTGCGGTAACTCTGCCCAAGCTCTGTCCGTGAACTCAGACTTGTCTCCTGCCAATTTCACACAATGAGACTCACGCACGTTCTCTCTCACACGCTTGGCCTTCTTGCGCTAGGCGCCACAGCAGAGGCCTTCTCCCGGTCCAGAGAAGCTGCCTGCGGCCCAAAAAAGCTTTTCCGGCCTCTACCTACAAGCCAGAGCAGGGACAAGACCTGCCATGTCCGCAGCCATGGAGATGGCACTGACGACTCTGATTACATTCTCTCCGCATTGAACCAATGTAACCACGGTGGGAAGGTCGTTTTCGATGAGGACAAGGAATATATCATTGGAACGGCGCTGAATATGACTTTCCTGAAGAACATTGACCTAGGTGCGAATTCTGCAGACCCAATCAAGGTGACCATAGACTAACCTTATGGTTCAATAGAGGTCCTCGGAACAATCTTATTCACCAACGATACAGACTACTGGCAAGCCAACTCCTTTAAACAGGGCTTCCAGAACGCTACGACCTTCTTCCAACTCGGTGGTGAAGATGTGAATATGTACGGTGGTGGTACAATCAATGGCAACGGACAGGTCTGGTATGATCTGTATGCCGAAGATGATCTCATTCTGCGACCCATCTTGATGGGTATCATTGGGCTGAATGGTGGCACAATCGGTCCGCTGAAGCTGCGGTACTCGCCGCAGTACTACCACTTTGTGGCTAACTCGTCGAACGTCCTCTTTGATGGTATTGATATTTCGGGTTACAGTAAGAGCGATAACGAGGCCAAGAACACTGACGGATGGTGCGTTTTATCCTGCTTTACACTGAGCGTTATACTGACCTTTTTTCCCGTAGGGATACCTACCGCTCGAACAATATCGTTATCCAGAATTCGGTGATCAACAACGGTGATGGTAAGTCAAACCTAAGTAGCGTCTACTTCAACAATTCTAACCTGCAAACCTACAAAGACTGTGTCTCCTTCAAGCCAAACAGCACCAATATCCTCGTTCAGAACCTTCACTGCAATGGCTCCCACGGCATTTCTGTGGGCTCTCTCGGCCAATACAAGGATGAGGTTGACATCGTTGAGAATGTCTATGTGTACAACATCACTATGTTTAACGCTTCGGTTTGTCTGGACTTTAACCAAATAATAAACATTTTACTAACTTGGTTGCAGGATATGGCCCGCATCAAGGTTTGGCCTGGTACTCCCTCTGCGCTATCTGCCGATCTTCAAGGCGGCGGTGGCTCGGGTAGCGTAAAGAATATCACTTATGACACCGCACTCATTGATAATGTCGACTGGGCCATTGAAATCACGCAGTGCTATGGGCAGAAGAATACTACCTTGTGCAACGAGTACCCGGTTAGTAGACCCTCAGCCGCTTCCCCGAAGCCACTCTAACACACCAATAGAGCTCTCTCACCATCTCGGACGTCCACATCAAGAACTTCCGCGGTACGACGTCGGGATCGGAAGATCCCTATGTTGGGACAATTGTTTGTTCCAGTCCTGATGTAAGTGCCCTCCAGGGTATGCGTTTAGTGTGCAATGGCTGACACTCGATAGACTTGCTCGGATATCTATACGTCCAATATTAATGTAACAAGCCCGGATGGAACCAACGACTTTGTTTGCGATAATGTGAGTCGGCCAAAGCCAGGTGAAGATCTAAATCGGTGACTAACGCTGTCCAGGTCGATGAGAGTCTTCTGAGTGTCAACTGCACCGCCACTTCTGATTAAGTTAGAATGCCTGTTAACATGTACACTGGAGGTCAGGCCTTACTTAGACGGATGAAGGGTGTATATATTACACTTGGGTTCGGCTGTGTATATATACGTGAGCAAGCAAATAATATCTGTATGCTTTTGACTTAGGGAAGGTCAGGCGATCAAGAAACTTTCTGGTTCAAACCTTGATCATGGTTCTCAGTAGATGCTCCTTCTGCTTTTTGCATGCGATACGTCACATGCCGAGAGAAAGATCATTGCTTCCAGGTGCTTTCGCTCTCCTGAGTGATAGTACTGCACTTACTGTCCAGGATACTACATCTCTTTGCATTTACCTGCTGTTCATCTAACAAGCAAGCAACCAGAAGAGCCACCTACCAAGTATAGTAGGATCTAGAGCGCTCCGAGGAGATCGTGTAGACCATACTAGATCCTCGAAAACGTAGGTTGCAAACCATATTTCAATTCTAATTCATCTGAAGTGCGACAGCGAGATTTATAACCGAAGCTTCCTCTCACACGAACTCTCGGCTGATGATCGTGACCTCCTGAGTAGCACCCAACCAGCGGACTACAAGATTGACAACGAACCTTACCCACAACTCTTAAGTACTTTGAAACAAAGTGGCAATGATTTGTATTCTTTATCGGTGTGCGTCATGCACCTCCTGCAGGGTTGGGTATGATAGATTAGACATATCCTAGATGAGTCTGTTACTCAGCTTCCCCGAGAGAAGCCCGAAGTATGGTAGCTTGGGGCAGCTTAACGGGGTCAAGCTTCAGATTTGGCTTGATTCTTCGTTGTGTTGCCACTGGTTAGATGCGGTAGGAACCTCTACGTTAGAGTATAATCTTCCAAACCCAATATAACTTATCATTTGCTTCATCTGGACAATATGACATCGACGAGAATGCATGCGTCGACGTGGATGTACAGCGAAGTTGGGAGTGTCATTGTGATACATCCAATCATGATCGACATACCGACTAACTTGTCCTGTGTCAATTGACGTATCACCGATCTGTGGGTGCGTTTATATAACTGGGATCATGGATTAAAAATTCTGATTGTTTCTTTCACATCACATCACATCACTCGAGGGCTATTCCATCAAGATGCCGTACGATATCAAGGATTTATTCAACGTGCGCGGCTTGGTTGCCGTCATCACCGGCGGGAGCTCTGGTATGTGTTGCGGTCACACTATTTATTCTTATACACAAGCTGATGATGATGTTACTATCGCAGGTCTGGGCAAGACGATGGCTCTCGCCCTCGCTACCAATGGAGCCAGCAGAGTCTATATCCTGGGCCGCCACAAAGAGACTCTCGAAGATACAGCCGACATGCATCCTGGTGTTATTATTCCCATCGTTGCTGATGTAGGCTCGAAGGCCTCTCTTGCTGCCGCTGCCGATCAAATTCATACTGAAACCGGATACATCAACCTGCTCGTCGCAAATGCAGGGATGCTTTATATGGACTCACCAGAAGCCATTAGTGTCAAGGTCGGTCGCACTCTACAGGAGAATGCGACCCCTGATGAGTTGGAATCCTTCCTCATGGACACTCCGGTCGATGAATTCTTAGACACGTTCCGGGTAAACACAACAGGGGTATTCTACACCATTGCAGCCTTTGTTTCATTACTGGACAAGGGCAACAAGCGAGGAAATGTCTTTCAAAAGAGTCAGGTCATCGCTGTGAGCAGCGTCGCAGCACATAACCGGAGAGTGGTTGGGGGCTGTGCGTATGGAATGAGCAAGGCAGCTGTGATAATGTTGATGAGGAAGATGATGACATATTTGATTCCTCATGGGATTCGAGCAAATACTATTTCTCCTGGCTGTGAGTATTTCCCTCTGTATTCTGAGACTATGTGCTAACTGAAACAGTGTTCCCAAGTAATCTGTGTGGAAGCCCAGCCAACGAAGAGATCTCGGTCGAAGGCGCATTTGACCGAGAGTTCATTCCGCTGCAAAGAGCAGGGAGGCGCGAGGAGATTGCTGGGACTATTCTGTATCTGGCCAGTAAGGCAGGCGGGTACGTTAATGGAGATTTGCATCTGATTGATGGGGGGATGGCAGGGTGCAGCAGTTGAATTTTGATGCTGTGGGATTCTCTATTTTCAAGTTTTGGTGTTTCAGTTGCTCGGGGTCAGTTGTATTGACCACATGATACTTATTGGGTTTTGCATAGCCAGGTTGGGAACCGGGGTTTATATATATACACTGTCTTAATCTAGAATGTTAGTCTAAAAATACTATATATTCTTTTTTCTACTGAAAGATTACCCAGGATGATCCTGCTGTGTACTCACGCTGTACTTCACAAACCCTAGGTAAGTGTAATACCACAGTGGCACAATCAACATCATCACCCTGCAGAGGCTGCAGGGTATCAACCTGAGTCAATCCTACTAGTAACAATAACTAGTAGTATGATCATTATGTATATTACAAAACACCCACAGTAGCACGAATACTACTGGAATAGGAGCACCCATCCGGAGACTGTGCCACCACCCAACTTGAATCATCATCATGACTGCCAAGGATGATAGTCACACCAAGCCTTCCACAGCAGTACGTAGTACTTCGTAGTAAAATGACCATTTGCCTCCCAGGGAGCTGTGGAGTGGGGATGTGGCGATGCCAATGCTGCTAATAGACTAGTAGTGATTGTGGCTGTTCAGATCAATTTAGTATTATATTTTTAGAATGTGGCTGGAGCAATGAGCCCACTGCGGTTTCAGGTGGATTGATATGACTGGTCTTTTAGGAAAGTGGTGCCTTAGGCAGAAATAGAGACTGGGTGATGATGATGGTGATAATGATGAAGCCTATGTTACGAGTAGATAACTAATAGAATAATTCCCAATTCTTGGGACATTGAACACCAGGTTAGTAGTAGTAGTAGTAGTAGTAGTAGTAGTGATTGAAAGTGTAGACTATTGAAAGTCACGCGACCGTCTGTCTTGCCCGGCCCACTCGATCCCTGTGCGGATCATTCCATCATTCTCCAAGCCCGATCCTTTCCATTCAGTCAGTTCAACGGTACTGGCACTCGGGCGGAACCGAACCAGCCATACTACAATACTACCATCGTTGATATTCATATAGAAAAATAAATAGAGGATAATATACTATGTATTCTTTCCCCTCCAAAACTAATCACCAGCAGCAGAACCTTCCAGCACCTAAACAAGTAAATGCTGCCTAGCCCCACTACTACATCCACAATCCACCCCTCTTTTTTTTAAAGGGAAGGGAAAATCGACCCACCCGAGCTTCCCTTCCTGCAGGGTGACTTCACCAGCAGCAGCAATCCCCAGTCTCAGGGTCTCCATCCAGAAGGTTAGCAGCTAGTTACTAGTTTAGTTTCAGTAGGGCAGCAATGCTTGCGATCTTCCAACTTATATAAACCCTTCCACTTGACCCAGTTTATTCCCTCTTCTTTCCTACTTACCTTCTCTACTCTCCTCGGCCCCCCCTCACCTCACCCCTTTTTTTTCTCAAACAGAAATATACCTACGAAAATGTCCTTCCACAACAGCTGCCAAAACATCCACCTCATCCACGAGCCCGGTGCTACTTTCCTGCACGCTGAAGTGCGTCGTGCGAATGGAGAGTATGTCGCTCGCAAGATCCGTCTTGATAGACATATTGGAAATACTGATGGTATGATCCCTTTTCCCCCTTCCCCCCTTTTATCCCTATTTTCTTTCGAAATGCAGATACTAGAAAGTGAATGTATGGTATTGATACTGACTGCTAATAATTTGATTTGTATAGGCTGGTTCATCTGGGGCGGCTCCAACTTCACCGAAACCGCCAATGACATTCAGCTCGAGAACACCGGCCGCGGTCCCAAGTTGACGGCGTACTTGAAGAAGCGGGATGGCGGATACAGAGAGTTGCAGGGATTGTATCTGGCGGATAAGATTGCTAATGAGAATGGGGAGTTGGTGTTCAAGGTACGTCTATCTAACTATTATCTATCTATCTAATTCGTCTATTGTTGTGGTGTGGAATTGGGCTGACGTGGTGGGGTATTACAGGGACCTTAGATACATTGGTAGTATCTACTAAGCAAGCACCGAGAACGGGAGATATGGGGAGGTAACCAGTAGTAAAGGATACAGAGTGATTTTGTATGATTGGAGATATTGCATAGCGAATGATGAATTATTTTATTATCCCAACTTACCAATAACTTAACTCAAAGTAATGTTGCTACTTATAATATGAGCATCCAGATGATAGGCCAGTAGTAAATGTGTATATACCCGATGAGGGGCAGGGCACTCACCCACTACCTTACTACATATTTTATATATGCATACCCCTTAAGGAATGTTGCAGCCATCAACTTGCCACATAAGTACTACATGCATATGATGTGCTGTTCTGGTTGGTTGATTCCATATCTTTATGGAAAGTGTGGGCTGTGCTTACTGCGTGCGTATGTAGTCAAATAATCACAGGTTGTGCGACGTTCCTTGTGGAATGGATGGTTCAGTATTCTCGTGATGAGGAAGGATACGATACTTATGCTTAGGCTTATGCTTATGCTTACTTGAGCTTAGTAGATGGTGTTAAGCGCTTTGGTATTATGGGTGTCAGAGCTGAATATATGTTCTTGAAATCGTAGTTCGAGTCATAGATAGTGATGTTATGATATGCTGTAGTGTTGGAATTTGCAAAGCTTGGCTGGATTAAGAGTACCCCACATTCTTAGTAGTGAGTAGGTTGGTTGTTGGTCGGGGAGCTGACAGGATGCCTGACCACGCGGAGGAAGGGGGCCATGTGGGTGATGCCTTACTTATTACCCCGCAGTGTTGGTAACTTTAGTAGTTAGGTGGTGCTTGGGGAATGGAAGATTTTTTTGAACTGGATTGAAGAAGGGTATTAAGAGGAGAATAAGTAAGTTATGATTATATAGTTAATCGATAAGTTCTGTGTAATAGTAGCTAAGATAAATATTTTGACAGGAGTTAAATATAATGAATAGATAGTAAATGGTAGCGGATGAATTCCAGCCATGCTACTGCAAGATCACTATGAGGCTACTATCACCACCGATCATACGGTATCCACTTGAATAGGTGTATGGTGATACAGTCCGTATCAAAGGAGGTAGACTGTTGTAGTGGTTGCTTTTTATTCCCAGAAAATAGATGGATCTCACTTCTCACCGATACCACCTCACATGACCGGGATCCGTCCCAGGAGCCTGTAACACCGACATGACAGACCCTTGCAGTGTGACTGCACTTGAGACGCCTTTCGGACATACTCCTTTCTCATTCGTGGCAAGCAGAAGTTGTGTATTTAATAGTCTAGATGACTGAAAATGCTCACCGGTCAATGATCCATGGTAGTTAGTATGGTTTGAGGCAATTCCGGTCATGGTGTCTTGATATCCATGGCCTCTCGCTTCTAGCGCACCCAACTTACGATGACGGGTACTATAATTGATTGCATCTCGTATTGACACACTCTCGGCTAAAGTTGAATTTTTCTGGATGGCGCCTGCACTGGCGGGACGAGACGTCGTGGTCGCCAAGCCTCTTGGCATGACACGTTGATTTGAGATGGCGAAGACATTCTCCTACCCTAGAACAAGCCAGACAGGGCCGAAATAGGCCCATTGGAGGAGGCAAGTCACCCGGATAGGCCACTCCAGGAGAAGAAAAAGAAAATAAACCACGTGTGAAGCTGAAAGAGCCTTTCGGTCAGGTCCGAGGCTGTTCCTCCAGCTGGGATACAGACCCAACAAAGAATCCCGCGGACGGAGGGCCACTTCGGACCAAGACCTGGATCCGGACAGGAGACCAGTTACCTTCCGACTCAGCGGGCTGGGCAACCTTCAATAGTCGTGGTGGCGTCGCGGCCGTCTGTGCTCGCTACCAGGTGTTCTGGAGGGGATGGCTCGTGATTAGCTACGGTCATGGACCATTGTCGGAAAGGTTACATTGGAGCTTAACATGGCGACTGATAAATTCTGGGAATCGTGAACTGGGGAGTCGAGAACAATGAGGGTGACATGCCAGGGTCAAAGAAAGATGCTTACTAGGTTGCCCCGATAGGGCAGGAGTGCTCTGTTAGTCTGTGTGAACTGTGAAGGTTGACCAGGGTCCAAGAAGCTCATCTCTTGATCGGAAACCCAAAATGACAGCACTAAGCAGATTCGGCTAGACTGGCACTTGATTGTGGGGAATCCTTCCTCTGCGCAGCACGTGGTAGGTTCAATTTTCCGACCCCTATGAAACCCCGCCAATCAGAGTGAATGCCAGAGCCAGACGGGGTTTGCCCGCCTGGACCGAGTTTCTGTTTGGCTGTTGGCAACTAAATCCTGTCAACAAGTCGTACTATACTAGCTTGACTTGCAGACTTACTATACCTTCTATGGAGTATAGCAGTGACTCGTGCTGGGTTGAATCTGGACTCCCCCGTAAACCGTTGCACCCCCCCCTGTGGGTACATTTCTTACGCTCAACCTGGGGAAACCAGGTCTGGGGTCGTACAGAACTTTCCCCTGTTGGTAAAACCTAACTCTCCGGGAAATTACCTCAGCCTGATGATTGGACATGCAGGCAGGATGAGAGGCATTCACCTCGAAGCCAGCCATCCGAATCAAGACTGGTGGTAATTTCGGATTCTGGGCCCTGTGCATGCCATCGGTCGACTGCAGTGAATAACGCTCCACAGCAATGGCCGTCCTGCAGCCCAACGAGTCACGGCCGGCGGCCAAACTGGACAGACGGCACGGTGGCCAAAGCTGGAGAACCCCATGGGCATTCCCCGGAACCGATGCTGGCCCGATTCTCAACGGGAAGTCGCGAGTCCAGCAGTGAGCTGAACATGATGCAACTTGGACCCTCGCACAGGATTATAAAACCGACCAATACCCCTGATCTCGTTTTTTCTTGTCTATCTTCTCGGTGCTTCCCCTCTTCCTTTTCTCCGTCACCTTCCCTCACGTCCCCCGGGCTTCGTGTGAACGCCGCTATCTTTCTCCCATTGCTGCCATATAGGCTTCTGCCCACCCTTCTTCTTGCCACTTTCTTTCACTGTGCGGACTATCACACAGTCTATCCTCAGTAGCCATGGCTGATGGCTTCGTGGACGCCTCGCGCGTCGAGGCCCCAGTCACCCTCAAGACCTACTTGATGTGTGCCTTTGCGGCTTTTGGTGGTATCTTCTTCGGTTATGACTCGGGTTATATCAGCGGTGTCATGGGAATGAGATACTTCATCGAGGAGTTTGAGGGCTTGGTATGTAGCGTCATCGCAACAACTAATAAGTTAAGAGGGGACTGACATCTATTAGGACTATAACACTACCCCCACAGATTCCTTCGTCCTCCCGTCCTGGAAAAAATCGTTGATCACGTCGATCCTCTCGGCTGGAACCTTCTTTGGTGCCCTCATTGCGGGTGACTTGGCAGACTGGTTTGGTCGTCGCACTACTATTGTCAGTGGTTGTGTGGTCTTCGTTGTTGGTGTTGTCCTGCAGACCGCTTCAAGCTCTTTGGGTCTGCTTGTTGCCGGACGTCTGATCGCAGGATTCGGTGTTGGCTTTGTCTCCGCCATTATTATCCTGTACATGTCTGAGATTGCACCTCGCAAGGTTCGCGGTGCTATTGTCTCAGGGTACCAGTTCTGCATCACTATCGGGCTCATGTTGGCCTCATGCGTCGACTACGGCACTGAGAACCGTCTCGACTCGGGCTCCTACCGTATCCCAATCGGCCTCCAGCTCGCCTGGGCTATCATCTTGGGAGGTGGTCTGCTCTGCCTGCCCGAGTCCCCTCGTTACTTTGTTCGAAAGGGTAACCTGGCCAAGGCTGCGGAGGTCCTTGCCCGCGTTCGTGGCCAGCCCCAAGACTCGGAATATATCAAGGATGAGCTGGCTGAGATCGTGGCAAACCATGAGTACGAGATGCAGGTGATCCCGGAAGGTGGATACTTCGTCAGCTGGATGAACTGCTTTCGCGGCAGTCTGTTCTCGCCTAACAGCAACCTTCGTCGGACAGTCCTGGGTACTTCCCTGCAGATGATGCAACAGTAAGTCACAACCTTGCCACACCCACACATAGAAAATGAAGAGAGATACTAACCGTCATCAGGTGGACCGGTGTCAACTTTGTCTTCTACTTCGGCACGACCTTCTTCCAGTCGGTGAGTAAGATGAATCTGTACCCGAGATGATGCGCTGACAGAGTATAGCTGGGAACCATTGATGACCCCTTCCTCATCAGCATGATTACCACTATCGTCAACGTCTGCTCGACCCCCGTCTCCTTCTACACAATTGAGAAGTTTGGCCGCCGTTCGCTCCTTTTGTGGGGAGCACTTGGCATGGTCATCTGCCAGTTCATTGTCGCTATCGTCGGCACCGTGGACGGCAGCAACAAGCACGCTGTCAGCGCAGAGATTTCCTTCATCTGCATTTACATCTTCTTCTTCGCTAGTACGTGGGGCCCGGGTGCTTGGGTTGTGATTGGCGAGATCTTCCCCCTGCCTATTAGGTCGCGTGGTGTGGCTCTGTCGACGGCTTCAAACTGGCTGTGGAATTGCGTAAGTGACTTGATCCCCTATTCACGAAACACGCTGACCAGTCAGATCATCGCCGTCATTACCCCCTACATGGTCGACAAGGATAAGGGTGACCTCAAGGCCAAGGTATTCTTCATCTGGGGCTCACTGTGCGCCTGCGCTTTTGTCTACACGTACTTCCTGATCCCGGAGACCAAGGGTCTCACTCTCGAGCAGGTGGACAAGATGATGGAAGAGACCACGCCTCGTACCTCGGCCAAGTGGAGACCGCATGGCACCTTCACGGCCGAGATGGGTCTTACTGCAAATGCTGTGGCCGAAAAGGCTACTGCGGTTCACCAGGAGGTGTGAGGGACGGGATGTCAGTTTCGACAGTGGTTTGCTGCTGACGACGAGTTGGTGGGTCTGCATACAGAAGGGTATGCTCGATTACTATGATTAATCTATCCTGCTTATTTCTGTTTACTTTACGTTAGTGATAGCTAAGTAATGACGCATGATACCAATATTTCGTATCTTTGTGACTTATTCCTCTCCTTGTCTTCTCGTACGGTTTGGAGGGTAGAACTCATGTAACAATTCCAGGCAATTTGGAATCCTCAACGCCTCGCTAAGAGGAGAAAAAGCTATCAGAAAC